CTTCAGTTACTTCCAACTGTTGGGATAGAAACAGCAGTTTATTATTTTTGCCAAAGTCAATGATTTTGACTTTGACAAAAATGTATGTAGAGATTTTTGCACTAATTCACCTTTCTGTTTGAATTTCTTAGAAGCTCCAGAAATCATTCTGTACACCAGAGTTTCTTAAATTTTTTGGTGTTGGGACCCCCTATTATTTACAAAAATTTTGTGGGACCCCATAAGCATTGTGCAAATCTGACAAATGCATGAGTAAAACGTTCAGTTTCTTCTCTTGTACTGTAATATGTTGCAATTTTAGGTCATAAATTTTTTAAGTAAAATGAACGTTTCTGTTACAGTCAAAAGTCGTTAATTCGGACACCCATAATCTGGAATGATCTATAATCCGGACCTCAAAGCTAGCGTTGGCACATGCGCACAGGCGTTTTACGTGTGCGCGTAAGACCTTGACTACTGCGCATATGCGTGTGCGCAAGTGCAGAATACGTTTTTACCTGCTCGTTTGATGTATAATGGACGGTGTAAGCTAAAATTATCTAATTATCTATTTCAGTTAATGTTAATGATTGCGTCGTTCCTTAATCTTCGAATTGGATCCTGCTTATTATTTTTGCAGACTGTAAGAGCAATTTTATAAAAGTAAACTTGAACTTTCGATTATGTCAAATAGAATTTTCGATGCTGGAACTTCCATAGGATCTACAAAACGAAAGTATGTTTCGATGTCCAACAAAGAAAAAGTGGAATTGCTCCAAAAAATGGATAAAGACATGAAGAATGTGACAGAGAGGTTAGTGAAAACGAAAAAATTTCGATTGACAAGTTAGTCGGTATTCTCGGCACAGCAATTAACGGGACTTGAACAGCGGAACTTTGTAACTGAACAAGAAATTATGTCTGTTTATAGAATTAAGGAGAAAGTATTATCACATTAAAACGAAGCAACTTAAACAACTTACATTGAAAGAAATGTTTAATAAAGTAAACAAATAAATATTAAGGTTTTTTTTTTTTTTTGTAAATTTTGATACCCTTTAGATCATAATTGTTCTTAATTTATAAATTACGGTTTTATATTTTTAATTTTAGAATTTCTGCATGCCATCTTACGAGATTTAAACTGATGATCTATAATCCGGAATCACCGAAGTCCCGACGAGTCGGGATTAACGACTTTTGAGTGTATTAAAAAAATGCATCGAAACGTTTTCATTTTTCCTGTATTGTCTTTATCTATTTTCAGATACATTATGCAAAAATGTATGGCATTTGTAAAATTATTACAATAACTTAAATTTAAAAATTGTTAAATTTTTTGGCGACTCTCAACTGTAGGTCCCCCGATTCTCAATTGAAGTTGCAACCCACAATTTAAGAAAGTCTGGTTTATGTAATATGTCTTCTTACGTTGTAACAAAGTGCCATAAAATTCATGGAAATGAGAAAAATAGTGATATTATATTTCATACTTTTGCAAAGGACAGTTTGCTTTTGGCGGAAAAAATTGGTACGTGTGTAGAAGACAGGATTCTGAAATTAATGTGAAGAACGCAAGAATTTATAGTGAACATTTTCAATGCAATGACTGTGAAGACATGAAAAATTGCTTGCTTGGATTACTGCAAAAGAAACTGCTAAAATCCAGTACTGTGCCAAGAAAAGAAAAAATGCAGAGTGCTTTTGAAAGTCTACATAACTTAAATTTGAAGATAGGCTGATTACAAAATTGATGATAGAAATAAAAATTAAATACAAATAATTTTAAACTAGAACTCACAAATGATGATCTTAATATTGCTGAACATTCTAACTGTAAAAATAAACAAGAATTCATTGATAATTTGTAAAAAGAAAAGGAAAAAAAAAAAAAAAAACTAGCTTAGCATTTTAGGTAATTAGTAATCGTATAAAACGTCAAGGTAATTTGACGTAAAAAAGATCTTCCTTTTCCCCTCTTTTGAAAGATAAGGTAATTTTCTTTAGATACTGTAAGCAAAGTTGTGTTGTCAAACTTAAGACAGCGATCTATATTTATTTAAATGTAATATATGTGAGTAGTGCAGTTTTAAGTCATTCATTTTAAAATAAAATGAACATTTCTATTATTTAAAAAAATGCGGCAAAACGTTTGCATTTTTTCAGTACTTTTCTATTTTGCCGGCGCAAGCGATAAAGTCGTCAAAAATGATTCAACCGATGCCAAACGGAATATTCTCGCCAGTAACCTTTTACACCTCATTTTCAAAACAAGTCGAGCGATTTATTATCAGATTGATTGTTTCTTTCAATACTGGCATACAATTTTTACCAGATAGTTCAATTTTATGCCCTAAGGCCATTCGTGGTAATTAAGTCACTTAAGGTGGAATCACACCGCTCACCCAAAGGTGAAAATATAGAAAAGGCAGTCAAGGTTTAAATTCATCAGTTCTAATGAGAATGCACTAGTGAAGTAAAACACTGCGGTTTTACATAATTTCTGATTAAGCTATTCGGACGAATTGAAATAATTCTTGTACTTGTATCCCAAATTAAGATTTAACTTGAAATTAATGTAGATAATTACTGAGAGAATTAGATTTTTGTAGCGTAGTTTACATGAGATGAGATTACTTAAGGACACGGGATATGAAACAGCGAATTAGGATGTCGTACCATGAAAGCATAGTAAATTCTTAAAATTAATGCCTTTTTACAAATTTTTTGGCTTTATTTATTTTCTTTTTACAGAATTTTAAATGATATTAAAATGCTTATGCCTTCAAAATAAAAATTTCTTAACATTCGTTAATATTTTGTATGTTTATACTGTGTGTTGTCGCCAATAAAATCTGCTTGGCGAGATTTGCCCGGCAAAACGGAAAAGTACCTAATAATTAAATATAATACAGAACTTATTAACTGTACTATATTTGAGAAATAAATACTCATATGTAAATTCCAAAAGCATCTTTAAAAAAGGAACAAAAGCCGGATTTTTTAAGAAATTAAATATAATTAAAAATTTAGTTTTAACCAGAAGTTAAGAACAATAAATTCAACTTACTCTTCTCTGTCACCATCTTTCTGTAATATAACAGCAAGAGGTTTTATGGAGTTTTTACGAAACAAAAAAGTACCATTTTTGCTTTGTCTGTATTTTCTTATCATTATCTAGTTTCAGATGCATTGTGTAAAAATGTTTGATAATTGCCCAGTTATTATAAATAAATTAAAGAAATATCAAAATTGCTAAATTTTTTGGTGACCTACAGTTTAAGAAACTCTGCTGTGCACCAGCGTTAATGACAATGTGTTCAGCAGCTGTGGATAAACCTTAAAATATGTGGGAATTTATTTATTCTGGACTATTATTAAGCATGTATGGCAAATAGTCATAATTATAAAAAATAACTAAACATAATTTAGGCTTAACCCTCATCAATCTGCAATAGAAATGACAAAAAAGAAAGCAGAACAATATCATAAATGATGTATAGCAAATGCTAAGTAAATTTTATGATGATAGCTGAAAATTTGAAGTTTTTCGGATATCGCAAACAAAAAGCAAAATTTTCAATTATGGGATTTGTGGAGAAGCATGGATAAATGAAGATGATATAACAGAAGTTTTTCATTATGAGAACAGTCCCTCGATCATCAGAAACTAACAAGTTGTGAAATCTATTACATGATTCTAAATCCAGAAGATAACTTCTACTGATAGTGATGAAAGTGACAGGTTGTTGTGAACTTAAAAATTTTGATTGATAATTTAGTGGAAATTCTCAGTACAGAAATTACAGGACTTGAACAGTGGAACTTTGTGAATGAAAGAGAAATTATGCCTATCTGCAAAATTAAACAGAAAGTATTGACGCAAAAAAATTAAACAACTTACATTGAAAGAAATGTTTAATAAAGCAAACATATAAATATTGAGCTTTTTTTTTCCTAGTAAATTTCAGTTCCTTTAAGGTCATAAATGCTTTATTATTTCACAAATCACTATTTCATATTTTTAATTTTATAATTTCTACATATCATTTTACTTGTTTTAGATTGATGATCTAATATCTGGAAAAATCCGAAATCTGGAATTGCAAAACTCCTGATAAATCTGAACCTCAGACTTTGTACTGTAGTTTCTATGCGTATATTTGTGTGTAGCTAGATTTATTTATTATGGGATAGATGAGCTGTATAATCGTATGTAAGTAAAGATGACAAAAAAATATGAAGAGCGACTACTGATATCTCAGAAGAGTAATGCATTCTTTAAAATATTCCTTATATTTTTTAATAGTGGTACCTATGATATAGTTGTATGCTAAAGTAACCAATAGTTGCACTGAGTTGATCTCTGAGTGCTTTATTCTTTTATAATCTCAGGAAAGGATGAGTTTATGTTCTGAAATAGATTCATGATTGTCTTAATATGGTTTTATATTGTAGTTGCTTAGTTACTGCATGAATAATAATTATTTATTCATTAATAAGTTATTTTACATTTTTGCATGTGTTTAATTATTTTGTCAAATTAATGTTTTGTTAGTATTCATATTTATATTTCTTTTATGCTGAATGGCAGCAAGTAATTATTTCATGATTACATTGTTCCTGAATTTTTATTTAAAATTTTAATGAAACACTTAAAACACATTCATTTAGTCTAAATCTAATCATAATTTTGTATATTAGTTCTGTTTTGAATGATTTTGTAGTTATCAATATGTGGTAAAATCCTAGTGTACAATATGGTCTTGACGCAATTTTGAAAATTTTCATTATCACCAAAATGACTCATTTACTGCTCATCATAAGTACCGTGTTTACTGTTCATCAGAATGTTGCCAAAAGTCACCAAATCCTGTGTGTACCGTATACTAAGATTAAACCCAACACGTTAATTTAAATAACACTATAAATTTTCTTTATGCATTTTTTTGCTGTAATATTAACTTGTATATCAATTTTTTGTTTTGCACTCATATATGAATTTCGTGATTTTTTCCCAGGTCGTCCTAGAATAATAAGTATGGAATCTGATAGTAATTTAACAAAACCAGGCACATTGTTTCCTGCTTATTCTTCTGCTAATCAAGTGCAAGGTTAGTACTGAAAACCTCAGTTAATTATAATTTTTTTGGACATTTTTTTATTTCTATCAGGGTTTTCCTTTAAATTGTATAAACATTTCAAATTTGTGCTCAGCTTATTAAAGTGCTCAGCTTTTGAAATTAAGATATCAAAAGCTAATAAGCTGAGTACAAATTTGAAACTCATTTCTGTGGCTACATTTCAATCAGTGGAAAGTCAGGTATTTACAAAATCTAATGAAGTTATCATCAGTATTAAAAAACAGTACCAATGATCTTTAATTTAATGTTGTGAAAATCGTAATTTCAGGAAAAATATATTTCAGAGTATCCCTTAGAGATTTCTTTGGCGCCATTCTTGTTTACATTAAATGCCTTCCCAAGTAAAATAGCATCCAAAACATACATAATGAAATAAAACATAATTAAAACATAAAAAATATAATCTCAATGAATTGCACTTAAAATCAAAATAAAATAAAAAAAAATAACATAAAAATGGAAATACATTTTATCTAGTGTGTGCAGTACAAAACGGAAATATTGACTTACCTTATTTAGAAATTTCTGTGTCTTCAGTGTGTCGCACACAGAAGTGATGGATGCTGATCCATCACTATTTAAAATTATTCAAACTAGAATCTGTATACTGACATCACCACTTAAACTCACAAAAGTAAAAATCAAAAAATATCTTCCATACTGCTGAACTGTTGGTGGCATTTCTTTCGAAAATCTCTTTTTATCACACCCTACATACCTTCTATAGTGTTAATATGAGCTCTGGTTTTCAAATCCTTAAATGTCACTGCGTAATTTACCGAGAACCGAACGAAGCCATTTAAATCTTCATTTACACATCAGTCAATCAATGTTTTCTTTCCCATTCATTCTAAAACGTACAGGAACTTCACGTTAATCATACCACCTGCAGTCATTTTATGGTGTGAAGCACAAGCAACATACTTCCTAACCAACATCCAATGCATAAATAAGCCTTAAGAAATATTTTCTGAACTGTCAAAATCATCACAATAACAACCAATCATGTCATAATAGGATTTTCATAACATTCAACATAAAATACTCAGGTTACCATAAATGAAACAATGACTTGGTGATAATCCAAGGGTTCCCCTAAAATATTACACTACCTGTAATTTCCTTGGGTTGCATGTTCTTCCGAAAAATAAAACTGAAAAATTTAAATTGAGGTTAAGGTTGTGAAAATAGTAATTTCGGGGAAAATATATTTCAGGGTAGCCCTTAGAGATTTTGTTGGTACCATTCTTGTTTATGATATGGAAAAATATTTTGTAAAACATATTTAGCCAAATCATATTTTACCGTCTTGATGGGAGGAATTTTTTAAACTTTGCCCTTGGCATGAAATAGATTAATTAGGAATGTTGGTTTTTTGAAAATTATTCTTAACCCTTCTTAATTGTTACATTAACAATTTTTAATTTATCCAAAAATTAGGTATTAGATAAGTTTCTAATTTATGAAACTAAGTGATTCTTAATTTTGAAACTACAATAAGTAAAGAATACTAATAAAATTAATAGGTAAATATTATGACATATTCTTATCAGCTTGATTTATAATGAATTATTTCTTGATTCATACCCTGGTGTTAATTGCAGTTATTTATTACTTTATTGAAAAGTTTCTTTAATTTAAGAAATAGAACTATTCTTTTCATAGACTGTTTTACATATTTTGTTTGCAGAGAAAAAGGAAGATAGAGATTGGCTGTGTAACAGTAGCTTCACTCCTGCTACTTATGAATTTTCCTGTCAGCAGCAGTTGTAAGTATTTTGCTGTTCTAAATTGTAATGTACCAAAATATTGAACTTTAAATTTTGTTAACTGTATATTATTAAAAATTCACATTATTTGAAAGTTCATATTATAAATCACAACTTCTCAATAACTCGAAAAACACTTATAAAGTTTAGGACTGTAGTTTTATTTCACATCTCTAGAATTGTATCAACACTTTTGCAGCAAAGGCAGGAACACTCACTTCTCCAAAGCAAAAACACACTCTCGGATTTTCCCTTTTTTGCACAGCACTGCCCTCTGGAGGCATTTTCTGCATTTTGCAGTTCATATATCAGGGAGGTGAGACTGAATATCCTGCTGCCCATTAAAACTGCAAATTTCAATATGAGAATATCAAAACAAATTTTGAAAAAGTTGAATAATAATAATATATAATAATAAAACATATGTTAGGTTGGCAACTAAGTAATTGTGGATTTTTTTGAGAAAATCAAAGACAATTTTTTCATGGAACTAAATAACTTTATTCTGTAATGTATTGCCCATTTTGATCAATGACCTTTTGCCATCTCTCTGGCAGCATCATAATCCCACGTTCACAAAACTTCTGGTTTTTATTAGCAAAAAACTGAATCAGGTACAATTTGATTTCATCATCATTATTAAAATTTTTACCATTCAAGGAGTTTTGTAAAGATCGAAACAAAAAGTAATCAGATGGTGCAAGGTCAGGACTATATGGTGAATGTGGCAAACCATCCCAACCAAGCTCCAATCATTTTTGCGGAGTGACCAAAGATGTGTGTGGCCTTGCATTACCATGATGGAATACAACACCTTTTCGATTTGTCAATTAGGGCCGTTTTCCTTCAACTGCATTGTTTAATTTCGTTAGTTGTTCAATGTAGACATCAGAATTGATCGTTCGGTTGGGTGGTAAGAGTTAAATGTAGACAATTTCTTTGTAATCCCATCAAACAGATAACAAAACCTTCTTTTGATGAATATCAGCTTTTGATGTTGTTTGAGTTGGTTCACCTGGCCTGCTCCATGGTCTTTTCCGCTTGATATTGTTGTAAACAACCCATTTTTCATCGACCAGTTATCAGTCGTTTTAAAAATGGATCATTTTCATTACGTTTATTTAGCAAATCGCAGCTGTTAATGCGTTGCGTTAAATGCGTTTCCTTCATTTTCGTGAGGAACCCGTGTATTGAGTTTTTGAACATAGTCAAGTTGTTTTAAGTGATTTTCAATGGATATATGGGATACATGAAGCTTCTCTGCAATCTCACGTGTTGTACTGTTGGCAATCCAAATCGATTATTGCTTTGATTAGGTCGTCATCAACTTCAACTGGAGGACCAGAGCGTTTTTCAATCTTTGAGTGAAAAATCACCAGATCGAAATTTGGCAAACTAATTTTGACACTGCCGTTCTTTTAGGTTTCGTCACCATAAACAGCACATAACTTTTTATGAGCTTGCGATGCGTTTTCCCCTTTGCGGAAATAAAAAAGCAAAATATGACGAAAATGTTCCTTTTGATTTTCCATTTTTTAACGAACGCCAAACGAAAACTACGCAACTGATTAAAAAACTTTTTTTACTGATTGACAGCTGAATTGCCAACTATCAAATAATAAAATGTGTTTTACATTTGTACTACGTCTGCAACCGTAAAAATTCAACTGAAGCCATCTATGAGTGAAATCCGCAATTATTTAGTTGCCAACCCAATATTACAATAGCACTGTTTAACAACTTAAACGAAAATAATTATAATATAATGAATACAACACAATTGCAGTAATACACCATATAGTCTAACTATTGATTTAGCAAGATACATATATGCCGACTACTTCTTTTAAGAAATTTTCCATCTGGTAACCGTAAATTGACAACTCTTACCTTTCCGTCCTTGCCAGGAAATATCTCAGCAATTCTAGCACCCAGCCATTTAGTGGGGGAAGATTCTCATCTGTTATAAGTACAACAGTTCCAACTTCAGCATTATTTTTATCAAACTGCTACTTTGATCTTTGATGTAAATTACTAAGATAATCTTTTCGCCACAACTGCCAAATCTTTTTAACATAATTAGTTATTTTTCGCCACTTGGAAAGCCTGTTTTCAGGGATACCTGTTAAATTAGGCTCAGGTATAGAGGTGATTTTTCTGCCGATCAAAAAGTGTCCGGGGAACGAAACTCTAAAATCATTGGGATCGAAAGACATAGGAGAAAGAGGGTGTGAATTCAAAAACCCTTCGATTTGTATCACAATTGTTAAAAACTCCTCTATAGTTAAATTAGTATTTCCCATGACATGTTTCAAATGGTATTTGAATGACTTTACACCAGCCTCCCAAAGACCACCAAAATTGGAAGGGATGAACTTCCGGTCAACATCTTCAGAAGATAAATTTCCTGCAAGAAGTTCATCAGGAGAATTCACCATATTAAACAATCTCTTTAACTCTGCTGCCACACCTACAAATATCTTTGCGTTATCCGTAAAAATTTCTAGATTTGCCTCTTCGAGAAAAAAACCTTTTAAGACAAGAAATAAAAGTTTTGGTAGTTAGATCTGTTACGATTTCCAAATGAATTGCACGGGTTGCGAGGCAAACAAATACAGCAACATAAACTTTGTTAAATACACCCTTACGATGGTTTTGTATTTTGCAAGAAAGGGTCCACAAAAATCATTTCCTGTATCATTAAATACAAAATTTTCATTAACACGCTCAGATAGCAGATTTCCCATTAACTGAGAAGAAGTAGAAGAATTTGCCTTAAACCAAACAATGCACTGATGGCAAATTTTTCTGCAAATATTTCTCCCATTTATGAGCCAGTATTTTTCTCTCACATAACATAAAGTTTGTGGTCCCACATGAAAGCATTTTTTGTGAAAATACAATAGAATTAATTCTGGTAAATGGTTTTCTGGTCAGCATTTTCACCCATCCCTCCCCCCAGAAGAGGAGAATGAGAATTTAAATGTGTATAACCAGAATTGGTACAGTGAAGAAACTAATAACACCAATTTTAGAAGTGACATGTTGTTAATGGACTAGAGAGACTAGGCTAGTCCACTAACATTTTATGTATTACCCCTTTAAGTATATTTTTACCTGACACTCAGTAGCATTAAAAGGAACATCATTTTACCTCATTTGAAATCATGCGTCATTCAAGTTTAATCAGATTTTGTGGAAAGGGGAGAAGCTCGGGTCTCTATAACTCTGTGCGAAGAAGAACATTTAGCTGGATTTCACATGTTCTCCTAACTGCCTTAGCTGTGCTATTATCTGCTAGCAATAGGTCATAAGAAATTTTAATTTTCTCATGATTTTTATGAGCAAAATTAATTTATATATTTTAGTTCATCTTTCTGAAAGCATTCTTATGATACATGAAATAATGCAAAGTAGAATACATTGATAAAATAATTCCTAGTTTATTTTATGGAAAGGGAAGCAATATGAAAAGTTAGTTCTACACAAGAAGTCATTACGGAGCATGCACAAATAAGCTCTGATGTCGTTTTATTACAACATACTCAATATCTGTTTGTATCTCAGTGGCCTCAATTTTTGTCTATCATGCTTTTTTGTGTTATACCTATTACTCGAAAGGGAAATATTATGTAATTTTAAAATGATTAATAATATGCAAAGTAATCTGTTTTGGTGTCCGTTTGCTCTTTTTATGATCACATTGAAAAAATTATTTATTTATGGTAAGATTATTGAAACTTTCCCTCTTTATCCAATTGTCATAAATTCATTAGAGCCTTTTAACACATATTGTACTCATTAGTCTTCATATTCCAAATACTGAAATCCTGTTGGGCACTTCTGAAAGTGACCAGTATCTCTATGAACTTAAACAAATTAAAGCACTGAATTTTACATCTTTAAGACAACCCCACCACTGGTTTGTGTGCGATTGTTTTAGACATGCTTATAAATTTTCTTCATATCTAAAACCATTACATTGCATTCTAGCTTAAAACCTTTTCTATCACAATCCAAAACTCCATACATACAGTGCAGATGCTAAATTGAAAAATGAAAATCAGTGACTTGTAAACTATTGAAGTTGCTTTGATACTTACATATTATTCTGTTGAAATTTTAAATCTAATGTTACATCAAGCTAAAAACAGTTCATAATTCATGCTGAAAAAAAAAAAGGAGGAAAATTGCAGCAATAGCAGTTAATTATATCCTTGTTCATAACATTAACTGCTATAGCTGTAATTTTCCTTGTAAATATGATAGGTGGCTTATCAAGAATTAATCAGTCTTAGATCAAATGAAAGCACAGATATTATGAATGTGTTTCCATGTCATAATTATCCAAAATTAGCGCTAAATCATGGTGCTTGGCGAAAGTTTCATGGTCAATGAGATATACTGCAAGTACCATTTCTTTCATAAACTCCCCTCAGAAAATGGTGTACATTTTAATTTTCGTAATATATTTTCTTACTTTGAATGATTCAGTAGTTATTGCACATAATTCCAACATGGCTTTATATATATATATATATATATTAAGTCTTAATTGAGGCTTGAAATTCCTAATTTCATTACTTCTCAAGGTCACTATTTATGGATAATCTTAAGTTGCATTTGCATGTTGAAATCATCTCTTGTCACTGTGATCGACCTAAAATCACTCTGTGATTGATGACTTGTTGGTCATTCTTGCTATATTTTATACATAAATTACAGATTAATTATAATATGCTAATTTCAGTACAGTTTCCACTTGCAGCTGGATGTTTACAAATTTATGTTGATTTTAGCTATTTAATTTTGCATTTTTATTGCATAATAAATAAGATTTTGTTTATATTTACTGATTATTGTATTATTAGTTTAAATGTTGCAACTGAAAGGATGTAAAGATGAAATTATGTTGTGTGTGTATTCCTAAATGTATAATGTTTCAAATCACTAGTTTATTACATATTAACACAAATCATCTTATGTGCTAAAATCTACAG